AAGGAGGGAGGGAGGGAGGGAGGGAGGGAAGAAGGAAGGAAGGGAAGAAGGAGTATCCTTTTGTGCCATAACACCCAGAGGATGAAAATTCATGCCACAGAAGCAGAAAATAAGATTGCAAGGGGAAGCCTAGGATCCCCAAGCCACTCCGGAACTCCTGGGAGTCAGTTTCCTGGGAGTCCTGTCTCTTTGAAAGTGCTGAGGTCCTAGCCATAGAAACTGGTAGACCCACGACAGTCATGGTGGGAACACTCCACATGGTACCAGCAGTAGCCACTGCTCTGGGTGCCTGCTGTGAGCTAACAAACAAGGCCTTTTATACCTGCCAAGGCTAGGGAGACTGGGCCAGAGCAGAACTGTATTCAAGGCCCAGTGCCAGGGCATGATATGGGGCCACCTCCACCAGGCCTGTCTTCTGCAAACTGTGTGTTTCTGTGTTTGATGCTGAACTGTGTACTTCTACACAGCCACTGCAAGAAGCATGGCCCACACAGCTCTGGGGTTGTCTGCTTTCTCTCTGCACTTCTTTTTTATAAGTATGTATATGTACATACACACAGGCACACACATGCCTACTTGACAGCTACCTTCTGCAATCATTCTTTACATACACTAGAGAGGTTCAAGGCAAACTTCCAAACTCTGATTAAAAATCCTATCTGCACTGCAGACTCACAAAAGCACCCAATCACTTGTGGATTAACAACAAAAACAGTCAGGAAGTAATCAAGTCCCAAATAAACAAAAAACTCATTAGAAAGCATCCTACTCTTCTAAGCCTAATCAGTTGCTCAAAGACCAAAAAGGGAGGTCAAAGAATCCCAGCCCAAGGATCTTAATTTGTCCTATAAATGTCTGGAGCCTGCACATGAATGAAAACAAAAATTTCTGTTACACATTAGCCCACAGTCATTGCTACACCTTGATAAACAAATACAACTTCCACTGAGGTGAGTCATGGGTGTTTCTACTTCATGGGGCTTATGTATGATGACTGCATTTTAATAGAGACTGCATCTCCACCATGGCCAGACAGGCCCACAAGGACACCCTTGTACCTCCCTACCCAGAAAATATAATTTCACAGTGCATCTCAGAACAGGCTGAGACATGTTTCACAGGAAGGATCACAGCCTCACAGTATGATTACACATAAAATTTGCTACCATATCTTGGATCACGCAGCCCCTCCTGCCTCTACATGACCCTCTGCTTTTCCCCCTGTTATCCCATGGGGCTGCCAGTGCCACCTCTTCATTGAGTGAATCCAATCCTACACCTCCCAGGCTAGATACTTTTGACAGTTATCAGTAAAACACACATTTCTCTTCTGTCCTCAAGACCTGTGCAGGATGCAGCCTGGCTTACCCCAAGGGCACTTCTTGTGTGGCTGGAATGTTCCAGATCTGTGTCAGCTTATTATGAGAGCTGCTGGCCACATATATTCAGGTAACAGGACTGAGTAGCTGAGTTCCTAATTTGTTTTGATTGATAAGATTAAAAATGTCACATGTGGCTGGCAGCTTAAACCATACCACAGGGATAACCTGCTGACCTCTGCCCTCTCCCACTGCCACTTCTCTGCCCATCAGCTATGCCACTTCCCTTCTTTGTTTCCAAGGCACCAAGTATTATCTGCCTCCAGCCCTTGCCCATGCAAGACACACTTCCCTCCCACCATCACTGGGTGACACCTGCACTTCAGATCTTGGTACATCAGTCTGTCCCCAGATCAGGCTGCCACTTCTCCTTCTAGAGCTCCACAACCTGATCCCTTTCCTCAGGCTACTTTCGAATGAAATTCTGTGACAACTTGATGGCTTTCCCTTACGATGCCTGCTCTCCCCTGTCTTATAAACTCCATAAGACAGAGCTCACACTCTGCCATCAGGCCCTGGAGCAGAGCCAGGACATGTGGGAGGGTATCCATCGGTTAATGTTCATGGACTATCTGTACTGGGGGTTAAGTCAGGTTCTGGAGAGATGTGATGATAATCAATCTGTCAAAAAGCTGAACTTCCTCAGGAAATGTATTTCTGAGGTCCACTGTGCTCATCAAAACTTCAGAACCTCAGCCACTATGTCCATGGGGTGACATGAAATCTGGCCGAGAATCCCACAGGCAAACAGCAGATCTGGTGGGCATGCCAGGGCTTGCATCTCCTAAAAGTCTCTCCCACAATGAGTACACTACTAGGGCCACTTCATGAGGGCTGTTAGGAGCTCTATGCAACCCTCACTGACATCCTACAGGGAGTGCTGCTCAAAGGGGCCCCACACAGCTGCACTTTCTCTACACTACATGGACCATAGAGCTTTGATTTAAAGCCACCAGACTGGGAGTACAGCTCAGGGACAGAGAGTTTGTCTAGAGTGCAGAAGGCTTCAGGTTCCATCTCCACCACATGTATGCACACTCACACACACACACACACACACACACACACAATTGACTTTACCCAGGTGTGCACAGAGCAGCAACTGTGAGGTGCTACGGTTTAGGTGCATCTCCCAGATTCATGTGGGCAGTGATCAAGATGAGATGAGGTCATGAGGGTGGGACCTCCCTGATGGCATTGTACACTTCATAAGAAGTGGAAAGGAGAGGGAGAGGTAGGCTGGCACTGTTTGTCTGCCTTGACATGTGTTGCCCTTGCTGTGTTGACACAGCACCTTGCCAGACACCAGCACCTGGACATTGGGCTTCCAGGCCTCTAGAATTGTGTTGGAACAGAGAAATAAGACAGGACATATTTGTGCTCCTCCAAAAATCATATGATAAAGCCCTAGCCCATGTGATAGTACTTGCCAGAGGGATACTGGGTTTAGATGAAGCCAGGAGTTTGGGGGCCCATGATGGCATGCATGTCCTTATGGAAGAATCAGAGAGCTTTCTCTCTGTCCACCTTGTGAGGGCCATATAAGGAGATGGCCCAGCTCTTTTTAAGGTAGGAAGAAGGCCCTTCCCAGGCTTGTCCTTTGATCTTGAACTTCCAGCCTCTGGCACAGAGAAAATTACCCTGGCAGCCTGTGATAACTGAGACACTCTGGGTATATGCAGTGATGGGATGTGAGTTAGGAGATGTGTTATATTCTCATGTAGCTGATCTGTACCCGTTTGACCCAAGGATATTCACAGTGTGAGCAAATTGTCAACAGCACATTTTCCAGAAAGGACCTGGCAGCAAGGGAGCAGGACTATCCTGATGGCAGCATGGAGGAGCATTCACACTTGCCTCAGACATGCCTACCTCTGGGCCAGTGCGCAAAGAACTAGTGCTGCTCCCCACAGCCCACAGCCCCCAGGAGCCCCAATACAGCTTGGTTAAGCAGCAGCATCCAGGAGCCATTCCACATTCCTCATGATAGGGGGCAGCACTGACCCGGAGACGGCCACTACCACCACCACCACTACCACCACCACCACCATTAATTCAGCTAGACCCACCCGTGTGTATTTCAAATGAATGGGTTACATAATGTTCTGGAAACTTGCAAAGAGCACTTCTGTTCCCAGCTTACCTTTCAGAGTGGGAATAGGACCTTCTTGTCCATCAAGATGTCCCAAAGTGTCCCTGGGATCTGGAACCTCCACTTCACCTGGAAAAAAAATTCAACACACAAGTTCTCACTTCAAGGGTGTTTGATTTTCTTCTCCAGCAAAGTCAAAGGCAGAGGAGTAAGGCATCACGGTGACCCCTAGAGGATGTCAGTTATATCAGATGATACAAAAGTAAAGTGGCTTTTAACCCTACTTCACAATAGAGCAGCCACTCACTGCCCCATAGCACAGACAGGAAGTTACCTCCAGAGCAAAGCCAAGGGTCATGGTGGAGGGGCAGCAGGTAATGAAAGAAAGAGAAAGGAAGAAATACAAGCAGGGGCTGCTAAAATACATTTAAAAAACACAACAAACAAACAAAAAACAACAAAAGAAAAGACAAGAAAAAAAAAAAAATCCATGGGCTACCCTCCAGACTGAGATACTTGGTAAACAGGCCATGAATTCAGAATTGGAGAATTTCTTAAGCAACTCTTCTCCGAGGCCAACCCCAAACCCACTGGCAGCCCTGTATGAATCTGTCCCACAACAGTAAATGACAGAAATCTTTCATCTTTAAAACTGCAAACTAATCCCTCCCCAACATGCACTGCCTGCCCCAGAGAGGGCCGTGGGTGTCAGAAGGAGTAGCCACCTCAAGTGCACTCAACATTAGGGCCAAGCACGGACTCCACCTGCTCTGGATTGAACACTCTGGTTCAAATCCACACTGAGGTGCGCACTGTTCCCATATCTTGTGGGAAGGGTGGGAAGGTGAGGCTGCTGGAAACCTCGCAGAGTCTGCCTCCATTTCCCAACTGGCCCCCTAACTACTCATTTCCTTCCAAGCTTCACCTAAAACCTAGGCCTCAATGGGGGCCAACTAACTGCAGGGCCAGAAATGGTGAAGTCACAGGGGACTCGACAATGTGCTTTGTGGAGAGAGCTGGGGTTTATGACATCAAAATCCTGTCAAAGACCAGTCCACACATGGAAGAGTATCATCCAGTATTACAGGAGGAGATTCTGGCACATGCTACAGACACAAAAGGACAAACACTATATGACTACACTCATGTGAGATCCCTAGAGGGGGCAAATTTACAGACAGAAGGTAGGTAGCACAGTACTGATAGAGGCCACAAATTAAAGAAGAAATCAGTTTCTACAATTAAATGATAATGCCAATACAATATATCAGAATCTATGGGATACAATGAAAGCAGTCTTATGAAGAAAATTCATAGCAGTGAATACTCATAATAGCAAAACAGAGTAAGCTCCACTAAACAACCTGATGATGAATCTCAAGCTTCTAGAAAAATTAGAGCAGGAAAAACCCAAAGCCCATAAAAGGGAGGAAATTATAAAGATCAGAGCAAAAATCAATGCAATGGAGACTAAAAGAATGACACACACACACACATACAAACACACACACACACACACACACAAATCAATGAAGCAGAGTTGGTTTTTCAAAAGAATAAACAAACAAAATTGACAAACCCTTAACAAACCTTAAAAAAAAAAAAAAAAGCAAAGAGGCCCAAATCTATGCAATTAGGAATGAAAGCATTAAATCACAATAGACCCAACAGAAATCCAGAGGCTCATCAATACCTACCTTGAGAACCTATATGCCAGTAAGACGGAAAATACAGAAGAAATGGACAGATTCCTAGATACATATGAATTATCAAAATTGAACAAAGATTCTAAACAACCTAGTATCAGTCAATGAAATTGAAAGTATTATTAAAAACTTACCAACTAAGAAAAGCCTGGGCCCTGATGGCTTCACTGCTGAATTCTTCAAGACATTTAGAGAAGAACTACTGTTTAAACTCAAACAAAACTGAAAGGGAAGCAATACTCCCAAATTCATTCCTGGAAGCAAGTATCACCTTGATCCAAAAAGCTGACAAAGACCCAACCAAAAAGGAGAACCATAGGCCAATCTCACTAAGGAACATAGATGTAAAAATCCTTAATAAGATACTGAAAAATAGAATACAGAAGATCATTAAGAAGATCATATATATCATGACCAAGTGGGATTCATTCCAGGGATGCAGGGATGGTTCAACATATATAAATCAATAAACGTAATACACTATATTAGTAGAGTCAAGGATGAAAATCTATGTTCATCTCAATAGATACAGAAAAAGGATTCAACAAAATCCAATACACATTTCTGATAAAAACCCTACAGAAAATTGGTATAGATGGTCTCTACCTCAATTTGATAAAAGCCATCTATGAAAACCAACAGCCACCATAACAGTAAACAGTCAAAAACTGAAATCCTTCACATTAAAATCAGAAACAAGACAAGGATGTCCACTATCACCACTCCTGTTCAGTATAGTTTTGGAAACATTAGCCACAGCAATTAGATAAGAGAAAGAAACAAAAGGAATAAAGATAGGAAATGAAGAAGTCAAGTTGTCATTATTTGCAGATGACGTGACACTATATAGAAGACCCCAAGAATTCCACTGAAAGTCTTCTAGACTTAATAATCAAATTCAATAAAGTAGCTGAATGCAAGGTCAACACACAAAAATCAATATCTTTCCTGTACAATTACAACAGGCTCACTGAGAGAGAAATGGGGCAAACAATTCCTTTCACAATAGCATCCAAAAAATTGAAATAGCTAGGAATTAACCTAACAAAAGAAATCAAAGACTTCTAATCTGAAAACCACTGCACTCTGAAAAAGAGATTGGAGAGGATATCAGAAAATGGAAACACATCCCTTGCTCCTGGGTAGTAAGAATCATTATAGTGAAAATGGCCACTGCCAAAACTACCATATAGATTAAATGCAATCCCAATTGAAATTCCAGCAACACACTTCATGGACCTTGAGAAAACAATACAAAAATTAATTTGAAGCAAGAAGAAATCCAGAATAGCAAAAACTATTCTAGCAATAAAGAAAAGGTAATGGGTATCACAATCCCCAACTTGAAACTATACTACAAAGCTACTGTGATAAAAACAGCATGGTACTGGTAAAGAAACAGACCTGAGTACTAGTGGGACAGATTAGATGATGCAGAAACAACTCCAGACACACTCAGCCACCTCATTTTGACAAAGGAGCCAAGCACCCCTCACTGGAGGAAGGATAGCCTCTTTAAAAAATAATGTTGGAAAACTGGGTTTCAATTTACCAAAGATTAAAACTAGACCTATATCTCTCACCATGCACTAAGCTAAAATCAAAAGATTTTAAAGATCTAATTATTGGATTAAAGATCTAAATAATGAAACAGAAACACTAAATCAGGTGGAAGAGATGTTAGGTAGAACTCTTGAAGACATTGGTGTAGGAAAGCATTTTATGAACAAAAACCCAATTGCATGTGAATTCACAGAAACAATCAACAAGTTGGATCTCTTATTAAAAAGCTTTTGGGGGCCAAGGATTTAGCTCAGTGGTGGCACCGCCTGCCGTCAAGGGCAAGGTCCTGAGTTAGATCCGTGCTAAAAAAACAAACAAACAAACAAATTTCTGCAAGGCATGAGAAACCACCAACAAAATGAAGAGATGAACCACAATGTGGGAAAATATTTTACCAGCTGTTCCTCAGATGAAGGTCTACTATCTAGAATATATAAAGAACTTTAAAAATCTGAGCAACCAATCCAACAATGGGCATCAGAAATGAACAGACATTTCTCAAAGAAGTAGAAATAGCAAATAAACACATGAAAAAATGTTCAACAGCACTGGTCATTCAAGAAATGCAAATGAAAACAATACTGAGATTGTAACTCACCCCACAAAGAATGGCTGCTTATCATGAAATCAACCAATAACAAATGTTGACAGGGCTGTTAGGAAAGCGGAACATTGCTCCACTGCTGGTGGAGTGTAGACTGGTGCAATCACTGTGGAAGTAAGTATAGAAATACTTCAAAGAACTAGGATTGGAAGTCCCATTTGGTATCCGGGA